TCAGATTAGTATTGAACTTAAATATTAAGTCAAGATTTTGAATGTCTTTAGCTTCTACATGATAAAGGTCTTTGATCAAGGGAATGGCATGATCAAAGAAGTGATTTTTGGAAATTTAATCAGGAAGGACTGGAGTAGGGGGAAGAGATTAAAGATAGAGAGATCAGCTAAGAGATTAGCAGAAAAGTCTGGATGTGAGACAGCATATCAGGGCCTCTACTTTGGTGGGAATTATTGTTGTTCAGGCATTTCAGTCACGTCCAACTCTTAGTGACCCCTTGTTGGATTTTCTTGGCAGATACTAAAGAGGTGTGACATCTCCTTCACCAGTGCATTTGACAGATAAGGAAACTGAGGTAAACCAGATTAAATGACTTGTCCAGAGTCACACAGTTAGTGCCTGAAGCCAAATTTGAACTCAGGTCTTCCTGACTCTATTCACTGCACCCCCTAGCTGCCCTTTAGGTGGGAATTGCAAGAATATAATTGAGGAACACTGTTAAGGAAGAATAACAAGACTTCATGGCTGATTCAATATGGGAATTGAGGTAGAGGAAGGAATCAAAGTTTTCTGGGGCATCAAGATTGGGAGACCTGAAGAATGGTGATGTCATTAAAATAAACAGAAAAATCAGGAGAGAGCCATTTGGGGTTTGGGGGAGCAAGATGAGTGTAGTCTACTAGAAAGAACATTACACTAGATGTCAAAAAACTTCAGTTACAGTCCATAACTTGCTAGTTCCTAGCTGTGTGTTCCTGGGGAAATTCCTCATATCTCTGGGCCTCTGAATTGATCATTTATAAAATTATGAAATAGGTGCAGGCATGGTGAATTTTAGTTAATATATGACACAATTTGTAAATTATGTTCCTTTGATTTTTGGGATGGTTTGTACATGACTTCTAGGTTCCCTTTTGCGATCTTGTTTCCTGCTAAAATCTACTATATTGACTAGAAAGGGGGGAGGGGGAGGGGGGAGGTGGTCAAGGGGACCAGAACAAGCTATGACTTTAACACAGCCTCTAAAACAAAGTACCTGAATTAACTGATCTCTAAGATCCTTTGCCATTCTAAGAGACTGATTTCATGCTTCCTTTCAACTTGTCAAGCTAAAAACCTTGACATATTTTTGTCTTCAAATTCCACCTACTCTGCATTTGTGCAGATATCCTAAAATACAGTACATGAGAGATGTAACTAATGAACTCCCTGCTGCTCAAGTTTGGCTTACAAGCACTCCCAGTGGTCCCCAAAGTTAGCTCAGTCAGTGTTTACAAAGTGCTAACGTTATATTTCTTTGTTAATATATGACAATTGTTATCTCTAAAATAAAACAGAAACCCATTTGTGTGGCTTTTTAAAATCATTCACCATTTGGCCTCAACCTACCTTTCCAAATTCTTTATAAATTACCCCCATTTCCATACTCTATAATGCAACCAAAGTGGCTTTCTGGCTGCTGCTCACACTCAGTACCCCCATCTCCCATCTCCACGCCATTATCCTGGCTGTCCCCCACCCCTGGAATGCTCTCCCTCCTACCTTCCACCTCAGAATCCCTTATTTCCTCCAACTCAGCTCAAGCACTTCTTCTCCCGAGTCCTTTCCTGATCCTTCAAACTGCTAGTGCCCTTCTTCTTTTCACTACTTTCAATTTATTTTGCATTAGTCTGCTTGTACTTAAATATGTGCATATTATCTCTTCCAAGAGAACGTAAACTCCTCGAGAGCAGGTACTGCTTCATTTTTGACTTTGTGTTCAGGACCCAGCACGTGCATGGCACACAGCAGATTCTTAATAAATGCTTGTTGACTGGTTTAATTTCTGCATAAAGGAATGATACCCCCTCATTGGTCTCTCATTAAAACTAATACTGTACTGTTCATTAATTTTAATAAGATGATCACAAAATTAGAGATTGAGCGTTGAAAAGACCTCAGAAGCCATCTTGTTCAACCCCCCTCATTTACAGAAGAGGAAGCTGAGGTCCACCAAAGTTAAGTGACTTGCCCAAGGTCATACAAGGAGTAAGGAGTAGAAGTGGCCTTTGAACTCATGTCCTCTGACTCCAAATTCATTATACTTTCCCCTCTACCAGGCTGACTGGAGTTCGTTTTTGGTTGTCATTGTTCTTTGTCAGGGTAAGTGAATAGGATGGTTGGTTCAAGGGTCTTCTGACCACTCAAAAGAGATCTGTGAGAAAAGTCCTCCAAATATAGACAAATGATCCAAGTACTTAAAAATAGCCCCTCCTATCAGCTTCCTTGCAAATAGCACTTTTTCAGCAAAGACTAGGAAATTTCAAACCCAGATTTTTTTTAAAAAAATTTGAAGTTCTGAAAAAGTCTGGGGGGTCTTGTATGCAACACTGCTTCAAGTTACAGACACTTTGTGAATATTTGTTTTGCTTTAGACTTAATCTTACAGACATATTACATGGTTATATTGTTCAGAAGTCAAAGTCAGATTTCCATCTACGTGAACAACTGTCTACAGAGACATGAATCTTCACTGATGTCCCCAAAAAGAAATTCTGATTCAAGCTCCTATGTAAGGTAGCCTGAGTAAATCATCTGAATTAAATTTGTTTTCCATCCACCCTTTGGAAGCTGGGCTTCCATTTTAATATATTCCAAGTTAGACAGACGTTCATAGTACACAGCTGCCTAAGTATGTGCACGTTTAGCACTGCATACATGTGTGGCACTATGTACAGACTCATTGATTTAGACCTCAAAGGGACCTTAAAGTCATTGAGTCCAAACCTGAATCTTACACCAGAGGAAACTGAATTGGTTGAGTGACTTGTCCAAGGTAACACAGACAATAAGTGGCAGGACTAAATCAGATCCTCTGACGCCAAATTCTTTTCCCTTCCCATTGTACAACACTGCCTTCCTCAAATTGTAAGCAAACTTTCAGACAATTTTATGACCAGCCCAAAGACTAAAGAAGATTCCCAACCCCACCCTCACTGACTAGAATCTCAGGGACAACTCTTTCTTTGCCATACATACAGCAGGCCCCAAAACCATTGATGGCAAGGCATCGCTTTAAAACACATATGTATCACCTGTATATTCACTATGTCCATCTTTCCTTGTCAGTAGTTTATCCATATTCCAGTCAAGTTTATCCATGACCTGCCTGTCCCAGCAGCGCTCCATGCCTTCTCTGAAGGGTGATGTGAGAATAGCACCCTCAAATAAACTTCCAAAAAGAGACTCAAAACAGAGTTGGTGAAATCAGTGGCACTCCAGACTCCAACTGCACTTCCTACATTTGCTCCATAAAGACGAAAAAAGTTTTTTCAGATATGAATAGTTTTGATCAGATGTTAGCCCTACAATCCTTTCCAGTAATTCCTGGGGGCAGTTACCTGTGAAATAAACCTCTCTGATCTAGCACATTCCTCTTTCTGTTTTCAGGACTTTAGCTATATGTGCCCTACAAAGGCACTAAAGTAGTTACTTATGGAGACACAGATGCTCTTTCCTATTTCCTTTTGTGATTCAACTGTAGTTCCCTAAGGATTTTCTCACACAAACTATATTTGAGACATAAACTTCAGGAAAGAAGCTGGTCTGCAAACACCATTTGGGTCTCATGATACAAGATGCTACCTACTAGCCCCCAAATCCCAAAGGAATCATTGCCTTGTGGAATCAACCCAAAGAAGGGGGATGGTTGATTAATTTGCAATAGCAGGTGCCGCTTGATGGACTAGATCTCTTGAGTCGATTCATCCAAACCTCTAGCCTCTACCCAAACTATCTGAACCAATAACTAAAAGTGATTAGATGACCTTTAAGGTCTCTCCTGATTGTTGTTCAAAGATTCTCAAACCCATGTTTCCATGAATCAACAAAAACATCATTAGCAGAAGAGAGGATACCTTTTAAAAATCCCAATAAAATCCAGCATTCCAAAATCTTTGGGGAGAACAATTAAGAACACCAGATTAGCCTCAGCAGTTGCCCTCTGTCTTTAGGATATAGGTTAAAATATCAGAAAAGTCACATCAGTAGAGCTGTGTAGCACCTATCTATCATTGTAGTGCCTAGGTGCTCTGATATGAATAAGTTGGCTCCCTTCCTACTGCAACTTTTCAGTATCTCCCACAGTCTTGGATTTGGTGTTTGGTTTTGTTTTTTTTTTAAAGGAATGTTTTTCTTAGCAGCCAAGCTCCTGATTACCCAAATCCATAAAATGTTGCCTTCATCTCCATTAGACGCATGGTCTTTCTGTGCTTTATTGCCTCCAAATTAAAAAAAAATGGCAACCTAACGTCCTGGGGGTGGAGGAGACAAGGCTATTGAGCCCACATGAAGACAGACAAGATAAAGAACATTATTCTTCAGGGACACAGAGAAATACCAAGATGTCTTCAGGTGTCCTGTGGTTTGCAGCATTCTTTCAAAGAAAGATTTCAAGCAAAGTCAAGAAAAGAAATGATGGTAGATGGAGCCATAAGTGCTCCCACCTGTATACATACTTCATCTGCTAAGATGGTGCCCCTGACTGTCTGATCAGCTGATGAACTAAAATTCCTTTCCCTCCCTCAGTGTCTCACACATAAGAATCACAAAGATAAATGATATTTTATGTCTATGTAGCGCCTTTCTTCCCAAAGGTTCAAAGCGCCTTATTGTATATTATCTCATGAATCCTCACAACATCCCTGTGAGGTAGGTAGGTGGAAATTATTATAATCCCCATCTTACAGGCAGGGGAGACTGAGGCACACAAAAGTTAAGTGATTTGTCCAACCTCACACAGAGAGTCACTGGCAGAGCTTAGAAGAAGCATATTCCTGTTTAGCACCTAGCACAGTGCTTTGCACACAGTAGGAGCTCAATAAATATTTGTTGATTTGATTTATGCTGCCTCTAGGAACATATAATTCACATACACACAGGACAAGCAGTCACCAGGAAAAAAAAAACATACATTCTTCCATTTTTACATCTTACAACCATTTCCAATATAATCAGGTATAAGAATTTCAAGGACTCCTCTTTCAACTAAGCCTTTGGCCTCTTTTTTTAAAGAGGCTCATCGCGTGTACTTTCCTGTAGGCCCATCTCTCTGTTCTCCCTGCACCCAGGGCTCCACCCAAATTGACTGAGATACTAGTTTTCTCATGAAAACAAAAATGGATTTCAGGAACCATGCTGACTTTGTTGGCCGTTTTGTGTTTTACATGGAGCCAGCTGAACAGCTTTGTTTTCTGCTATTTGTGGGTTTCGTCTGTGTTGTCTTGGTCTTTTGTTACAAAAAGAAATAAGGCTGACCTAGTCCAGTTGACATGGGAGAACTGTATGTACCACATACCAGGAGCTCTCCCTCCCTGGAGGGTGTGGTGCTCTACCTGGGAACACTGGACTGACCCCAAGAGGTGACAGCTCTGAGAAAGGAGGGCCGGTATGCCTGGGCATCATTTGCATTGTTCATGGTCTGTATAGTCATCCATATCCACATCAGAATCAAAGAGGGAGTGTCCAGTGAAGTCTGTGTCAGGCGTCCGGGATATACTGTTCTCTGCCCCTTCATCATCAAAGGTTTCTGTCCTTGAATAAAAGCTGAAATCCGGCAGTGGGGTGTGGGTCTTGCTGCCTTCACTGCTTTCCTCAGACTCATAGATGGTATTGTCGTCATCATGGTGCCACTCTGGCCAGAATTTCCTCCTTATTCTTTCACAATACATGGCAAGGTTAATCAGTTCTCCTGAAATTGAATAAGACAAAGTGAGTTCTCAAAGTCATCAACTTTCCTGTCCCTACTGCTCCAGAGGACACTGGAGTTAACAGATCTTTTAATAGATAGACATTCTCAAATATTTATCACAACCCAGATGAAGAAAAGGATGGATGGAATGAATTAAAGATAAGAAAAAGAGAAAGAGACAGACAGACAAATGGATGGACAGAGAGAGACAGACAGATATATCTGTAGCATTGCATACCAAATAGAAGTCCAGCCTTAGAATTATGAAGACCCAGGTTCACATCCTGCCTCTGACATGTATTAGCTGTGTGGCCACAAGCAAAGCCCCACAGGGAAGAGATGATCAAGGGCAGGAAGGTATACTGGGAAAAACCCTGGATCTGGAGCCAGGAAATCTGAGTTCAAATCCAGCTTCTAATGTTTACTACCTGTATGACCTTGAGCAAGTCATAACCTCTCTGGACCTCAGTTTTCTCATCTGTAAAATGAGAAGGTTTGACTATATGATCCCTGAGGCCATATGACCCCATCTATGATCCTAAAATGTAGAACAGATGATTCAAAGCAGTAGATAAATGCCTATTTGTATGACTTTCTAATACATTTTACGACTGGAGAGGGGGGCAAAGAAAATATATCTTGCTTGGGTTCCTATCTGGACGTGTTCTCTGTGAAGATTTATGAAATGCCTTGAAAAAAGTCTCGAAGTGTAATGCATGAATAGTTCATGATCTCAACCACTAGGGGGAGTACTGACATTGATGAGATCATATATCCATGAAAAATATTAAATTAAGTTCTCAGGGAATATCAACAGAGAAATTGTCCAAAGAAAGCACAGAAATACACTATTTGGTAGGAAAATACCTTTCTAAATTAAAAATTTGGGCAAAAATAATCCACAAAGTAGATAGCTGAATATTGACTTTATAGATATGTGACCCACGTGAATTTTCTAAAACAATGATATCTGATTATAGATTGTTATTGAATCATTAGAATCAGTATCTTCATTCCCCAAATTTAGTCTTTTAAAAATATGAGTCAAAGGGAACTAATTCTAACTTTGTGTCATGAAAAAACAGATATTCAAAAGATAAGCAGTCAAGGTTTAGGAACAAATAGTTTTCAGAAGAAATGCAGGTAATCAACAACTGTATTTTCTAAAGTGCTATTTATGAATTATGATGAATATAAATTTAGAATGATAAGAGAAATTAAAATTAAAACAATTCTGAGGTTTCTCTTCACACTCATAATATTGGCAAAGATAACAAAAAACCAGAAGTCAATGTTATAGGCAAGTCATAGGAAAGAAATCACAATTTCTCTTGGAGAGAACCATAAAGAATGATGATGATGATGATGATGATGATGATGATGACAATAATAATGTTAGCAAGTATTTCTATATTACTTTAAGGCGTGTAGAGCACTATAGGTGTCATATAATTTGAGCCTCACAACAACCCCAGGAGAGAAGTGCTATTATTATCCCTTTTTTTACAAGTATGGAAACTGAGGTTGAGAAAGGTTAAGCGACTTGTCCAGGGTCAAACAACAACCAGTAAATCTCTAAGGTGGGATTTTAATTGAGGTCCTCCTGACCCTAAGTGCAGCACTCTTAACCGATGTGTCACCTAGCTATGAATTGATTCAACATTCTACAAAGCGATTTGCAATCAAAGAGGCACTAAATTATTTTTCCCCTTTTACCTTAGTTGTTCCATTCTTAGGCAGCTATGCCCAAGGAAGTCAATGACAGAAAAATCTCATCTATCCCAAAATGTGCATAGCAGCCATTTTTGTGGTAGAAAAAAAGTGGAAATTAAGGTAGTACCCACTGATCAAGAAATGACATAATTATAGCAAATGATTATAAAATGGAATATTATTGCACTATAAGAAATGACAAATATAGGGAATCCAGAGAAACATGGGAAGGTTTGTATAAAGTAATATAGAGCAAAAAGCAGGAAAAAAAAGGAATTATATACTCCCATACACACAATGAGCATAATAATGTAAATGAAAGCAATTTCTGATATTTACTGCCTGAATGACCTTGGACAAAGTCAATAAATCTCCCTGGGCCTCAGTTTCCTCATGTATAAAGTGAGGGGGTTGGATTACAGTGTCTCTATGGCCCCTTTCCTTTCTACATCTATTATTCTCTGCTCCTATGAACATTAAAGGGCAGCTAAATTCTGAGTATTTAGAATCAATATTCTTGGTCCCAGACAACAGGGGATGAAACCTATTTGTCTCCTCTTAGTGCAGAGATAGGGTGGAGGACTGCAAGTGTGAAATGTTGTACATCCTGTGAGTTGTGGTTACTCCATCAGTCAGTTTTATGTAACTTTTTTTTTAAATAAGAGTTCAATGTGGAGAAATTATATTGGGAAAATGGGGAGGGGATGGGGATGGAATATGCATTAAACATACCAAAAAAAAAAGAAAGAAAGAAAAAGCAGGTAGTCAACTGATCAAAAGGTGACATATACTAGTGTCTGATTTCATATGCTCAGACAGAGAAATGGACATTGTAATTTTGTTCCACCAGATGGCAACATTGCTTATAACAACATATGCAGGGCATCCCAAAAGTCTAGCATCAGTACAATTTTAAGCTACTACAGGGCAGTTTTAAGCCACAAAAGCCTAAAACTGCACTAGCAACAAGACTTTTGAGACTACCCACACAAACATATGTATATTTACATATGTGTACAGGTATGTCTGTTGTATATACCTATAAATGCATGTATACATATATAATTATCTTGTGTAGAACTTCACATCTAATCATTTTCTTGTATCTTCATAAGAAAGTAATATACATGCAGCATAAAAACAGTTGGATGTTGCATGAGAAAGATTTTAAAATATTACTCCTACCTATAGGTTAAAAAACATTTTTTATGCCTTTGCTATCTAGAACTCAACAAACTAGGAACCTCAGGTAAACAGACTGCTTACAGCATTCACTTTTTAGGAGGGAAAAAAAAAAGCAAATCATTTACAAACAAAAACAAAAAACTTTCAAGAAAATGCCCTGAAGTCAGTATACGCCCAATCCATCTGTCTTCATCTTCCACACTAATGACCCTGAGGCATTATGAAGTACCGACTCATCCAAAAACAATCTATATAAGCTCAATATCCTCTTACTTAAAAAAGCAGAAAAGTGAATTAATGCATTTGTACAATAATGTATTATTCACTTAAATGTTAACAATACATTTATAGCTGTTTATATTTCAAAACAAATTTCTACAGATGGTATGTTCATAACAGATCATATTTTAGTTTCTCCTTCTATAAGCTCTCTGTTCTCTGTCTCTATACTCATTATCTGTATACAACTTCCTTTTTATAACTTTAGAAATAATAATTTTTTAATATTTAAATTTTTAAAATATCTCAAAGGGTTGAAACAAAAAAAGTTTTTTAGTTAACCCTCAATCAGTTGAATTTTCATAGGATTTACAGCTAAACATAAACTTGGAAATAACCTAGTCTTACCTTCTCATTTTACAGAAAAGGAAACTGAAACTCTAAAAGACTGAGTGACTTGGCCAAGGTCACATGATAAGTGAGTGACAAAACTAAGAATCAAACATGGGTCCTTAGACGCCAAATGCAGAGCTTTTTCCACTACACCATACCGATTCTCATCAGTCACAGTACCCTGGACAAGTCACTTAATCCTTCTCAGCCTCACTTTCTGTACCTATAAGAAGGGGGATAATAATAGCACTTATATCTCCCAGGGTTGTTGTGAGGATCAAATGATATGCACACCTTAAAATAATATAGAAATGCTATCATTGTTACTGTTATTATTATTATTATTATTATTATTGTTATTATTATTATTATTTACAATTCTCTCCAAACATGTCAGTTAACCAAAATTACATAGATCTTGGATACACAGAGTTCATTAAATGGTGTTCCCAATAGTAAAGTCAAGCCATTGTAACCAAAAGCAATTACAATATAATAGTAACAAATATGAAAAACTATTTCATTTAAATCTTACACAGAAATGTGTGCATCCTGTATTATATTACAGAGAATTTTTGGGATGATAGGAGGACAGAGAGAAAAATTATTTGTACAATCTATGTACATGTAAGAATTCTGTGTTGGCGAACCCAACTATGGAAAAAATTTCAAATCTAAGTCATCTTTCCTTAAATGTGTCTTTCCTAGAAGAAAACTTTCAGAATTTCAGACAAATATTTGTGCCTAAGAGTCAGTGAGTCACTGATTCCATGAACAAGTATTTATTAATCACTTCATATGTGCCAGGCATTGCGCTACGTGCTGGGAATACAGAAAAAGACAAAAACAAGCTCTCCTCTCAAAAAGCACACATTCTAAAAGAGGAGACAATACATAACTATGAACAAAAAAAGACAAACATTTATTCCTTCCACATCATGGGGGCTAAGGACTGGGGGAACAGCACCCACGTGATCTGGAAAATCCACGTAAAATATTTTTGGCCCTCCCCTCATACCAGAGAAAAAGTCTGAATTATTACAGTATTAAAAGATAGAATATGTTGATATTACATACAATACTATACATATATTTTATGCATTTCTGAGTTGCTAAACTTTTTCTATGTCATCTACAGGCCTTCACGTGTTGTCTGCAGCTTCCACAAAAATCCCAAAAAATTCCCATTTAATTTCTTACACCGACTCGCAATATATCAAAACCTCAATGGGGAAAATCCTGACACAGAAGGGATAACTTCATACAGTGCATATGAAAGATTATCTCAGAGAGAAGGGATTGGCAGGGAGAGTGGAAAGAGGACCCAGAAAGTTCTTCTGCAGAAGGTAGGATTTTACCTGAGTCTTAAGCAAGAGGGAAACTAGGAGTTGGAAGTGAGGATGGACAGCATTCCACACAAGAGAGACAACCCAATACAAATGCATAAGGTCAGGACAAGGAGTGTTGTAGGTCAACACCAAGAAGGCCGG